CACACAAACCAAAATAGAAATCACCCCTTACAGACACCCTTGTGTTGGCCACGCATTCTTGGGGATTGAGCAAACATCAAGGTGATGAACAACAAGTAAAGTCGATTCATCAAACAAAAAGAAGACAGACATCAGGCAACTGAAAAAAAGAGAGTGCAGCGCTATTTCCCGGCCTGTCTAGCAGATTGATGTGGACGAAGAATCCGGCAGGGTTTTTTTTGGTGCTCTTTTTTCTTAATCTAAAGTGCACTTAGCCTAATACGACAAACACTTCTGGTGACACTACTGGGGTTCTTAACTGCCCTTAGGGACCGAATGACATCACCACTTACCCTCAGACTGCCTGCACTGTTAGAATATATTATTGCAGATAATAGTGCTTCTCGATCGGCGTGCGTTTTGGAATTTAAGAAATGGAAATAGACTGTCTAACAACATATCGACACATTCATTCGAGGGGGGAGGGGGAGGGGGAGCACTTGCAAAAGAATGAAGTGTCGCATCATCATTTTTCAGAAAAATCGTGTCTTTTGAGAAAAGGTTTTATTTTATATTTGCATTATGAACTGTTTTTCATTTAATGTTTCAACAGCTTTTCATGTGGCAAAAAAAAAAGTGTTTAAATTTGTCATAGCAAAAAAAGTATTTATACAATGTATAATAGTGTGTCGAAATGTACATTTTTAAACTGAAAATGGGTAACCAGGAAAAACTTTTCTATTTACATGACTTGAAATAAGCAAAGCTGAATAAGACAACGAAGACTTCCAACTAAAATGAATGAGAAAAAGTTATCATTTAAATCAGAAACAAAAACGTTGATCTTTAATCAATTTAAAACGTACATCCCCGACTGAATCAGAATCGAGTTAAAAGACTGTGTTGCAACCTAGTCATGTAGCGGAATGTGATTGGCTCTCAAGTTGGTTGACCTTATTATCAAGTACATGCACTCTATTTGGCAAACTCTTCTTGGTAAACAGCAGCTGAATTCTTTCAGACACGATTTTCTTTATTTCAAACGTAAAAAGGAAAAGTGCAGAATGCATACTATAACTATAAGACTGACAAATTCGTGTTTCTAATTTGTTTTATAATAGTTTGAAATATTCCTTACCATGGCCGATTGTTTGCTATGGAAATAATGTGTTCGTTCTTACTTAAAGAGTTAGGCTTTTTAGCTGAAGTTCTCAATCTCACTTTTTTTGCATGCAGTGGTTTACGTATATTTGCGATCCATGAAGCTTCTTTCTTGGTATAGAACATACCTCGGCAGTTAGGGCACTGTAAAAAATTGGCGTTTAAGCTCTTTTGCACGGGGTATCCTGTGAGTTTCAAGGACGAACAGAAAGGTTTTGGACCTCTGGCCTCTGACAAAAGTATGCAATTACTGCCCCCTGAACACTTCATGCCCCACGGCTCTCCAGGGATGTGTTTAAATTTGTCTGGGGGTAAAAGTAAATTTGAGCCGTCTATTCGGAATTTCCTTGATCTAGTGCACACGCATCCGGGATCCACATTCTCCGTGTTGGAAATTCTGGGACCTTGTGACATCAGGCACGAAAGTAGCTTTCAGCTTATTTTAGGAATTGACCGGAGGGAGGTGGTGTCGAGATCTACTTGAACCGCAGTCTGAAGACTCTCCAACTTTCGTTACCGTTACCCTATTTTTATGTCTGTCTGTCTGTCTGTCTGTCTGTCTGTCTGTCTGTCTGTATGTCTGTCTGTCTGTCTGTCTGTCTGTCTGTCTGTCTGTCTGCCTCTCTCTCTCTCTCTCTCTCTCTCTCTCTCTCTCTCTCTCTCTCTCTCTCCCCTATCTCTTTCGTCTATCTTTGCCCTCCACTTATCCTCAACTCTGCACTCTCCCCGCCGCCCAATCTGGAGAAATAAGTCGCACGCGAACTTGATGGGTCAGTGAAAAGAAATCTCGACCTTGCACTCTAAAAATAAGTTAAAAGCATGATAAAGTCTTTCGGGCTTGACATAAAGGTGAAAAAGATGAGGTGAATCTTCCGTGCATGATGCCGCGTTGACCCACAAGTAGCCCCCACGAAGAGATAAAATCCAGAGTGTGCGCTCCAAGCCAGGTAAGTACTCAATGGAAGGTTAACGTTTGCTTTTACCAATCTGGCACACGGAGGTTATCAGCTCGTTATCCTTAACGGGAACTAAATGCTTAAGTTATCTTCGAAATTGCCAACACTCTGTCTAAAGTCATATTTAAAGGGTTAAGACCAGGCGCGGTTCGTCCATAGAGCACGGTCGTGCAGTGCCGCCCAATTTTTTAAAATACTCTGTTACATAAAGCACCCACAAACATAAAATAAAAAAAGCAAGAAACAAGCACTAGCCAAATATAATATCAAAACAAGGTTCTCGCTTGCGCCGTAACTATCATTTCTGTGTCTATAGCGCCGTGAAACATCTACTATCCCCTGCCAAAGTCCACACGCTTTAACTAAACATAATGAGATATTCAACACTGGTAACCTGACCTATAAATCGGTCTTTGGGATAACCCAAGCGATGACGACACTCGTAGCGAGTTTGGCGGTACATTAATATAAATAAGCCGGCACATCTCAAATGTGCTCCTGCCGAATAGTGCCGAAACATAGCCCACAGTAGGCAGTCTAAAAAATAAACGCGATAGACTGTACGCTATTCAATTCCAACAGTATGTGATCCTCCGAGTAATCCAGGGGAGTGCTCAAGTGAATTATGATTGGTTCATCTTCTTGCCGCTATTTTAAGTGACTCTGTGACCGTGAACCTGAGGAGTGATGAAAGTTATTACTGGAGTGTTCAATTCTCACTCAGGATGAACGAATTTGATGTTTCGCTAACAAACATATTTTAAGTTCTAAAAATCAAAGCGACAAGTAAAAAGAATGAAAATAAAAGGCACGAGGTCCTCCCTCACCAACCCAAAGATCTTAAAATTATACACCATCTCATTTACTATGCCCTTGACAATCTTCAGCCTGCGATAGCTTAATTGTGCACGCCCAGATTTTAAACCCACGAGCCGCCCCTGGTTAAGACACATAAACACATTTCAGATTATCTAGGAGCTTTTTTGCTCAGACCCCGCTTGTCTGTGCCGAATCAATTCCTGGTTGAGCATCAATTAGCATTCAAGCAGGAAGTCGGGGACATACTCTATCCAAATCAACAATCTTCAACTCAGGAATAGGATTGGCGTCGCTAATGTTCAACGTGGGAGAAACTATCCGTTATCTATCAGACGCCGAATCTGTCTGTCTTGTAGGGCTTGAAACTTTCAACAACAGTAACAATAGAATTTTATTATAACGTTCACCGTTGTGTTCTCCTTGTTGTGACAGTCTATGTCTTCCTTTTCACTGACAGTTTATTTGTCTGACCTTTTCAAAGAAGAATTGCCCAGCATCGAGGCTATTTATTGTCACCCTCAAGAACAAAACATTTTCCCCAACTGGCATAACAACATAAGTCTCCATCTCGGGAAAATGGCAGCGTTTCCTCTCTTCCTCAAAATAGAATCGTCATTTCGTAGAAAAACATGAACAAATGACTTATGAAAACTAGGAAGAGGTCGAGTGAAAAACAGGCTAAGTCACATTAATTCTTGCCGGACTCAGCTTATGTTTTTTTCTTCATTTTTTAAAAATGATTTACTTTGCATGCATTTTAACGTGGTTCGGTCATACAAAGTGCAGTTTGCGATGACTTTGTTGTTTTTTCATTTAATTGATTTTATAGTGATACTTTACAGGCCTTGTAATCTTGTATGTTGAAGACTTGTGCCCTGACTTTTTCAAAGAATTGATATATCTGGGGGGG